AACCAATTTCAGCAGCATCAACACAATACAACATTTTAATTACAAAATATAAGGTGCAAACAGGAACAATTTTAATATCACCTATTCCTTAATATAGTCCCTGACCCATGGCAGGAGATAGTCCTCCTTCCAATGGGGTCTCTTGGAGGGGGGTGTCCAGGAAGCACCAGGGGCCCCTCCCCTTAGGGTCTTGCACCATGGGACCTGGCCACTTGCTGGGGGATGGGGCCTGTACTGCCTCACTGCATCTCCCAAGACCCTTGCCCCGTCTGCTGCTCCATACACCATGTGGCCTACTGGCCCTACTGGGGTTGCAGGCTCAAGCCGCCACTTACAACTCCCAAAGTCTGGGCTCCATGCACCAAACCATGCACCATGATGGGCCTGAGCAGTCTCGCACACTCCCAAGGCAGCTTCAGGCGCTTTGGGCCTATTGCCCACTGACAGAGAGCTGCCCAGCTTTTCTTGGCTCCACTCTTCTTGAGTCCCTCACTGCATCTGCTCTCGTGCTGGGCATGCAGCTCCTTTTATATGCTCCAGGGTTCCACCCCTGAAGTCTTCTGAACCTGACAGTTTGCAGTCTTCAGTCAGGTCCAGGGGAACACTTCTCCCCCTCCCCTCAGGAAAGGGGCGTGACTTTATTTCTCTTGCTATCTCCTAATTGGTGGATGGGCTCAAAACAGCAGGATCTCAAGCCTGGAACTCAACCCAAGCTCTGAAACGTAAGCCTGCTACATCCATTATAACCTTGGCTGAAACACCAAAATTAATCACTGTCCTTCCAAAATGCCAAACCTGGACCAAAACAAAACACAGTCATTTCTCACAGCCGTATTAATCGTGTAGTTTGGCTGAATAAATACATTACAAAATACTACACTACACTACAGAGGGTGTGTCTACCAGAAACACCTTACTGCCCAGTAAAGCAAATTACTGCACAATAAGCATCACTGTCTACATGTTCAGATGCTTAGTAAACAAAAATCTGCTGTACCTGGGAGTTAATTTACTACCTACAAATACAAGTAGCAAATTAACTCCAGAGTAATTACAGAACAGTAATGAATGTATAGGCACTGACTGGGAGCAAATTTGCTCCTGGTCAACCCGAGCACCAGGGGGCCACCTGCAGCCCAGCCCCAGGGCCACAGGGCTGGGAGCTTCTCCAGCCCCAGGGCTGAGGTGGCTCTTTACCTGCCCCAGCCCCTGACCCTTAAAAGCCTGTTGGGTTGCTAGGGCCCTGGGCCACCTGCAGCCAGCCTCTGGCCACTACATGTCACAGCGGAGGTTCCAGGCCAGCCACAGAGCCTACCTGGACCCCAGCACTGGTTCCTGGCACCGTGTTGCCACGTGGCTGCCTTTCCTGTGCTGTACTCCTGCGCTGGCTGATGTGGGCACCTGCCAAGCCTGCCAGTACCCTGGATCATGTGCAGCCAGACTCTGGCCACCAGATCCCACTCCAATGGCTCTAGGCCGGCTGCAGCAGCCTGCCCAGACCCTGCCACCAGTGCCTGGCACAGCATTGCCATGTGCCTGCTTGTCCCACACCACACCCCTGGACTGGGTGTGGCATGCACCTGCCCAGGCCCACCAGCACCTGGACTGTTGCATGGAGGCCCAGCAAGCCATCGAGGGAGCCATGCTGGAGTTGTCCACAATGGCACGTGCTGCCTTCTGGGGACGAAACTGGTTTTATAGCATTTACGCAGAGGGTATTGTTTATGTTATTTGTTTAGATATATCACACACACACGTGTGTGTGTGTGTGTGTGTGTGTGTGTGTGTGTGTGTGATATCTAAAATCTCCACCAGTAATCTCCATGCTAGGAGCCTCCTCTACCATGTCCCTGCCCAGCCCACCACATCCCCCTGCCCACCACTACCACATCCCTGCCCCTGCCCCTGCCCCTGCCCCTGCCTAGCTCGGCCACATTCCCTGGGCCCCCAGGTTTCCCCTCCCCACAGCATTCAGGGAGGTGGGAGACAGTGCAAAACTTTATTGAGCAGCCTATGCCCCCTCAGCAAAGCAGACACAGGCCTCTCGCATGTGAAGGATTACATAGATACTGGTGACAAAGTCATCCTTGACTGTGTGGGGCAGGTACATGTAACAGATCCACAGGTTGCCCTTAAGTGGCAATGGAGGTCGTAGGGCAGTGTGGGCTTGCCCTCCACACCATCAAAGTTCAGGGTCCCACACCAGGTGTATTTGTGGCACCATGGCAAAAAGCAACAAACAGCTCCTCACAGAGTATCCAGGACACTCTCAGCAGGGGCACACATGGGACATAGTGTGAGCATGGGAAGAGACCAGCCCCAGGGCACCCCTCCAGAGAGTCCCACTGTGGAAAGGGGGTGGGGGCTGTGCCACCAGCTCTGCATCCAGTCAGCTGTGAGCCCCTCACCACCTCACCCCTCTGAGCCTGGGCACTGTGGGCTTAATAGCACTGTAGGAGACAGGCTGGCCTGCAGGAGGAGAAGCGGGATAGGGGGAAGTGGCTCTGGAACTCTGGCAGCATGTGCTTCTAGGAACCAGGCCTGTCTCAGCCTGAGAAGGGGGTGGGGAAGGCAGGCTGCCTATGGCCAGCACCCAGCAGCACACCTGCCCCTGTGGAGCAAATGGAGATGGGGGGCTCAGCCAGCAGTTGGCTTTACCAGGAGCTGCCTCGCCAACTTACCATGGCCTGTGGACTCCCATGCACACAAGACCCCTGATCTGAGGCTGGGCAGCATACAGCCCCCTGATATTGAGCATGTTATCTCAGAAATGTTGCAAATTCTTACAAACAGCCTCTGCCTCCTGGGTCTGTAGGTCCTTCAGCAGCATGCAGGGAAGAGGCACCAGTTGGCAGCCAGGATGTACCTTCAAGATCACAGCTAGTCTCAGCCAGGGCCTCCCATATGCATGTGCTTTGGCAATGCAGGACTCAGGACTGGACCTGACTGTTGGACTGCCTGGTCACACTGGCTGAGGAGTGACTGGCAAACTCATGAGCCTGGAGGGTGGAGAATGTCACATGTGAGCAGAAGAGGGACACACATGAGGTGCCAAGGAAAAAGGTGGACCAGGAGTTCTGGGACAGTCTCCTGGCCCTGGAGGAGAGACACCTGGAGGCCAAAGACCAGCAGGATGCCATGGTCACCAGGGTACTGGAGGCCTTGGAGGAGGACTGCCAGGTGCTGGACACCATCCTGGCCCTGGCAGTCACCTTCATGCCACCCACTGCCCAGACCCCAGCTGCAGCCCTGCCTGCCCCCGGGGCAGCTGCCCACTGCCCAGCAGCAGGCCCCCCAGTTGGCCTTGGTTGAGGTGCAGCATCACCTCCACTGGCCAGGTACCACTGCCCCAGATGGGAATCCTGGGTCCTCCACCAGCCAGCCCTCCCATCTGGGCCTTGCCCCACTGCTTGTCCTGGCTCCATGCAGCCCCAGAGCAGGAGCTGCCAGCAGCAGGGCCAGTACTTCGTGTGTGCCCTGCTGGCCTGGCCCACTGGCTGCAGGAAGGGGAACTGGCTTTACCAGCAGAGAAGTGCCTGCTGTCATCCCCTGACAAGCCCCCTGCTTGCTGGCCTTGGCATTGCATGTACACCTGCAAGGGTACAGTTAGAGACCAAGGTGCTGGGTGTCTGTCCCCAAGCTCTACCTCCTAGGTGCCCACACCCCACTGGCCACTACCCTGAGAAGGCACACCGAGTATGCACCAGATGGAGTCTGCACAGGAAAGAGTGTGCTTTATTGGTGGTGGGTGGGGTGGGTGGTTTAGGGGCTCTGTGGGGAGTGGGTGAGGGGGAGATGGAGTCTGTTGTTGGGGAGGGAGGAGAAGGAGGGGTCTGTGTTTGTGGTGGGAAATATACTGCTTTTCTAAGAACTGTTTCCAGTGAGCTTTGTGCTAGGTGTGCATGATGGGGCTGAAGTCCATGCACAGACATCCAGGTGGCCTACAGTGGGGAGTGCAGGTGCTTCTCAAACCCCACACCCTGGTGCCCACTGCTAGGTAAGCAGCGGACTGGGGCCAAAGCAAGGGATGGGGGGCATTGCTGTTGCTGCTGCCACAGCTAGCACTCCTGGTGCCAAGCATCTTCCACCCACTGCGCCTCCTCTGCCCAGGCCTCATGGAAGAGCTCCCCCAGGCTGTGATAATGACCTAGGGGATGTTAGCTTTGGTGACCTAGAGGTGTGCAGTGACAGTGTGCCAGCATCCTTTTAGGTGTCTGAAGGTGTACTCCACCAGCACGAGTCCACCCCAGGAACCTGTTGAAGTGTGCCTGGTGTGGGTCCAGCTTGCTGGTGTAGGACTGCATGAGCTAAGGAAGGAGTGGGTAGGTGAGGTCCGCAGTGAGGAGAGGTGGGACTGCCACCATGCCGAGCTGGAGGTCTGGCACCCCAGCTGTGAAGCACTTGTTCTCCACCAGGGCTGGCAGGGTGGAGTTGAGGAAGATGCAGGCATCCTACACACTGCCCACCCAGTGGGCACGCACATTGTTGAAGGCACCATGGTGGTAGACAACAGCCTGGAGCATGATGGAGTGGAAGCCCCACCAGCTGTAGTAGGGGTGGTAACTATGGGGTGGGCAGGTGATGGAGATGTGGTCCAGGGCACAAAACCCCACCAGACTTCTGGGGGGTTGTGCATCTTGAGCACAGTGTGCCCCAGCACATCCTAGAGGGTGCTGCACACCTCCAGGATGGCCTCCCTGGCACTCACCTGCCCTCACCAAAGAAGTATCTGATGTGACAGAGGCTGGCAGGCATGGCCAACTTGAGTATGGCAATGGCCAGCTGGGTGTCCGAGAGAGAGGCTGCCGCATGGTGGTAGCCTGCCACTCCAGGTGCAGACAGACTGGATGAGGAGTTCCTGGAAGGTGGGGCCCAGATCATGCATAAGGACTCTAACTACTGCTTATCATCCCAGGTATGCTGGATGACATGCAAGCACCAGTCCTGGCTGACCAGACAGGCCCACAGGCATTGGGGCTGGAGGCCCAGGAGTGCATGTATGGCACCAGTGATGGCATTCAGAGGCACATCATTGGTGTTCCTGCCAGGGTCTGGGCAGTAGCACAGCATCTGGGTGGCAACAGCACAGTGCCGGGGGGCCTGATACACTGCAGTGATCCTGGGCAGATGGCCGCACCATGCAGGGGGGCAACCAGGGCCTAGACTGACCTGAGCCAGGTGGCAGTTGCTGTGGCAGTGCAGCATGGCAAGCAGGGTGGCCAGCAAGATCTTGGGGCAGTGGATATCACTCCCAGGGCCTGTGTATAAAGCAGCCATGGCAGGGCTGGCACAGGCTCCAACGACAGTCGCAGCTGCAGTGCTCTGGTCTAGGAAAACAGGTGGCCAGGGAGTGGGACTGGCTTTTAAAGATGGCTGCTGGCTACAGAGAGCTGTGGTCAGAGCCTCCAGCTCCCCCTGACTGCTACAGGGGACCAGTTCAGTGCCAGGAGCAGCAAATCTGTTTCTAAATGTGCGCACGTGTAGATGCCTGCCCAGGGTGGATTTAATCCAAAGTAAATTACTCTGGAGTAAACTCATCCAGTAGCACTTTTGCACATGGAGATGCACCCAGAATTTACTACATTACACTATAGAATTGAAGATAATGAACCAATTTACAATATGACCTCTGAGAAACTGTACCCGTGAAGTAATGCTAATCTGTTAGGCTAGGTACAGACATTCAAAAAACTCTGAGGTGGTATCAATCTGAGTTAAGGAAACCAAAGTAAAACAATACGCTGAGTGGAAGGACAAAATGGCTAAATTCCTCCAGAAATGTGAAGGACAATTGAAGGAAGTTTAAGCACAGGATTTCACCGAAAGCAAAGGTGTGACAGCAAGAAGAAAGAGAGTTAAATGTAGCCTTATTTCTGACAATAGCTGGTTCTGAAACACTTGATATTTTAATAGTTTTCAATGAACACAGGAAGCTTGCTATGACACTGTAATAAGAAATTTGCAGAAAACTGCACTCCATTGAAAAGTGAAACATATGAGTAAAATGATTTTAAACAGAGCATACAAAAGGTGAAAAAGTAGAAGTATTAATGATCTAAGCCAATCTTGCAATTTTGGGAACCTGAGTTCCAGATAAGAGACCAGATGGTGATTGGGATCTCAGCCAAACAGTCTGGGAAAGACAACAGCAGTCCTAAACCTAACCTTTAACAAAGCAGTTAGACTTTACCAAGCAAAGGAAGTCAAATGGAAATTTCTAAAGGTCTCACAGTGTTCTTACTTTGTGGACATGATAGAAATCCAAAATACAGGGTGTGGGGGGAGTGTCATAAGTCAAAAAGACACAAGGGGTTCAAAGTCAAAGTGTGAGGGACCATAATCAACAGCACAAGCTGTGGCAAATATCATAAGCTAAAAAAATGCTCAGCATTTGGGAAAAGACACAGGAGTGGATTGCACTGATTTGCAATAATTTGCAAATATCATGAGTGTGCAGCACAGATAAAGGATGGTAACAGCAGCTCTACCTCAGAGGAATTCTGCATAGGATCGATGGTAAGCATGCCACAGAAGAGAAATAAATTATCAATCTAAAAAAATGCAATATTTATTATTTTTATGTTGAAGAAAGGTTCACAAACCAAAGTAATACAAGAAACAGTGATATTGGCACAGACTGAAAAAGCCAAAAATCAATCAATAAATAAAGGCAAACAAGTAAAAGGCAGAAATTGCACTGGTGAGCTTATCCCCCAAAACAGAGTACATGAAGCAAGCATATCAGTAAATAAATTGGAAAAGATAAAATTGTCATCTTGTCATCAATAGGTTACACTGGGAGACCAGAAGGACTAAACCATTGGTCAAGAGTGTGAGGATATGGTCCAATGGACAGGGAAGTTCACAAACGAGTACAAAAAAGAGTTGCAAAAGGCCAAGCATCCTACAATTCCTGCCTTAAGGAAAGTTCCCTTCATTCTGAAGGAGAGTCTATAAACACAATTGAATAGGTTCATTGCTCTGAGAAATCATAAAGCAAGCACAAGTTTCTACAGAAAAAAAGAGAGAGGGGAGAGAGAGAGAGAGAATTCTTCTCTTCAGTACAGACCTGCAAAGAATTGTGTGTGAGGATTGTTCCCAGCATTCTTTAAGATTGATTAGACAAACACTTGTCCAGGATTTTCAGATAGGGAAGATCCTGCCTTGAGCAGGGGTTTGAATTAGACAAGCTCTTAATATACCTTCCAGCCCTACTTTTCTATGATTCTGCAAATTAGATAAATATGTGAAAAGCTATCCACTGTTTGCAGGAAGACACTTTTGTTTTTGAAGGAGAGAGAAAGAGGAATCTTGCCAAATATTTTGTTATTTTTGATACATCTTCAAGATTCTGGCAGGTACCCTTAGAAAAACAAAGTGCATGTTAGGCACTCCTTTTAGGCAACACTGGGCATGTCTACATGAGGCACTGCATTGCCATAACGACAAGCTGCAGTGACATATCTCGCCATTACAGCAACGTAATATCAGTGGGTACGAACTGTGCTGCTGCTGCTACTGCACAGTAGGGTGGGAAATGGCACGTGCGGCACTGGGACTGTGCAGTACCAGTGATTACTGTGCAGTCATTTAGTACTAGATGAGATACTAAATGCACAGTAGACTAATTCTATTGCACTTTAGCACATGACAGCAAAAGCTGTGCTACGTTAATGTGCAGTAGAATGAGTCTACTGTGAATTGGTGTCACTTAGAAGGCATGTACTGGTGCAAACTGCACAGTAGTGCCTGTTACTGCACATTTAGTTAGTACCTGTTATTACAGGTACTAAACTTAATGCACAGTAACTATGGTGACCAATACCTCTTCAGCATTCACTGATTTTTCAAAGGAAAATACTATAAATTTCTTAGACTAAGGTCTACATAGATGATGCCCTGACTTTAGGAAGCACAGTAGAAAGAAGATGACCAGAAGCTCTGGTCAGCTTGTGGAAGAACTAAACCTGCTAGTTAAACAAAAATTAAACAAAAATGTAAACTCTATATAAAGGAAATAAAGACATTGGAAGGCTAATTCCTGGGAGAAAAGGTATTATATCAAGGTATGGAGGAAAATTAAAGGAGAGTTCCAACATCACCAATGTACCTCTCACAACACACAAGAAATGGGTTTAAAAAAATTCCTTGGAGTGTTAATCTATGCAGGGAAGGGGTAAGTGGAACATCAGCCCCTTATGAGGGGACACAAAAAACAGCCACTGCCATAGTGACCACATTGCTGCAATTGGCATAGCAGGAGCTGGTGCTGCCCTATGTGTTGGCAGCTGCTCCAGGGACAGACCTGTCCTGCTATACCTCTGTGCTCAGCCTCGCTGCCGAAGAGCATTACTAGCCTAGAACAGAGTAGTTAACTTACAGCCCCCAGGCCACATCTGGCCTGCAAACAGCTTGGAGCTAGCCTGGGATGATCTGACCCAGTCTGCAGCACAGAGTAGCAGGCAGCATGGAGCTGCACAGAGCCACCTGTCCTCTCCACAGCCCCTCCATCTGCACTTATCCTCCCTACAGAGGGGGCAGGCATCTGCAACAAGGATAAGCACAGGCAGTTTGAGCTCTCCAGGGGGTAGAGATTTGTAGCCTACAGTAGGGAGCCAGGCTTCAAACTCTGACCAGGAGCAACAAAACATTTCCCAACTCCTGTTCTAGACTGTCTAAGGGACAGAAGGAGAAAATTTTAATAAAGAGGTAGTGTTACCTCTCAGCTCCATGTTCTTGGGGAACCCTGACACAGGACACAGCCTGTCTGACTCACAAAGAATTCTCCCCCCACCTCCCCCCGCCCTTCTACCTGAACTAGAACTGATTATGAAAGACAATGAAGATGCAATGGGAGACACACCTAAAGCCCTCCAGATAAGGGAGCAACTGCCCTAGGTCTCATTTGCATCCAAGATGGAACCAGATGACCATTCATTTACATGGGAGATGGAGAACAGAAAGCCCAAAGCAAAGACTGCAGTGAATTCTGGGATCAGAGAAGCAGGGGAGCACTGCATGATGGGGAGTCTGTGCTCCAAATGCTAATCAACCTACACTTACACCCACTCAGCTCAGCATTTATCATACCAGTTCTAATCTGGATTTACAAAGGACTTTTTCATTTCCCCCTCACACACCTTATCTAACCAGAACTAAGCAGAAATAAAGTTTAATAGGCATCTCAGGCCATACATTCCCCAGTCCCACTATGGGAGGCCTAGTTAAACTTGATTGACTCGGTTACCAGATTAGGGAATGCTGAGGCAAGAAACCAAGTCAGAGGGGGTATGGACAACATTTGAACAATGGTAAAGGGTTCATCACAGCATCCAGCCCGTTGGAGCCCTGACCACAAATGTTGTCATACTTTTGTGGGATGTCTGGTGGAAGTCCTCCCCACAAAGCTTATGAACACTTCAAGTAATCAATCCCTTCTAGTAATATCTGGAAAAGTCATGCTAAGCTGAGGCTTGTTCACAACAAATAAAAATCCCAAACCCTGACGCTGCGAGCTATCTATTTTTTCTGAAGAAACCATGAGGTATCCCATCCAGTATATCTGCTATCCGTAAAAATTTCAAGCTGGCTCCTAAGTGTCTGGTTACTCCTTAAAAACTTATGTTTTTCCTGGTTGTTAATCAGTTTCTTTAAATGTTCCAAACCAGATAACCCCTTGTCAATAGAAAAGACAATTATTTACTCTATTAAAAGAATGCTTTGAAGAAGCTGAACTGAGGGTATAAAAATCTGTAAAAAAAGCAGCAAAGTTGTGCTTCAAGAGGAGAAATCTCTCTGACACCATCCGCTGTTGTTCTCAAGAAGCTGGAAGAAACAGCCTGTCTCCCTTCAAGGACTGTGCTAAAAACTTTACCTGTCAGCATTGGAACCAAGCCCCCTACCCCCTGCTCTTGGTCATCTGATCTGGGAAAAATTCCTTCCTGACCCAAATCTGGCAATAGGTTTGAGCATGAGCATGTCAACAAGAAACACAAGCCAGGTATGGGAGAGGTTTCTCCATACTGCTGGAAGCACTCATGCAGTGGCCATGGCTCATATCTGGCCATGGTTAATCTCCAGTGCTTCAGAGGAAGATGAATAAAAAAAGATCCAAAGGCTAAGTTATGCATGCAAGGGAGAAAAAAAATTCTGGACCCTAAAGCCTGGGATTATGCATTACAAATACTGTAAGCATTTACAAGCTCAAAAGGAAAGCAAGGAAATAAGAGGAAGAGAACTTAATCTAGAAAGGGCTGTGTAACAGAAACTCGGGCAAGAGCCCTGTTACTTAGACAAGGTCGGGACAGATTGACCTGATGGTGAACTCTGCCAGGTGGGAGGAATTGCACACCTGGGATAAGACCAGGTGATTAGCCCACCAAGGGAGGCATAAAACCAGTGGCAGGAGAGATATTGATTGGCTTCAGGCACCAAATGAAGAGTGGGGAATGGTGAAGCTGCCAGAGAGAAAAGGAGAAAACTTACTGGTAAGATGAAGGGACTCCGGGAAGAGTGAAGCCCTGAGATACACAGCAGGTCAGCGATGAAGGGGATTGTCTCCTGGGAACCCCTCTGTGCTGACGAGTGAGGGAGAGACAAAGACGGCAGGCGGTGGATCCCTGAGGGACACGGCAGGTCAGCAGTGAAGGAGATTGCCTTGTCGGTAACTCAAAACTGTGCTGGTGAGTGCAGGAAGAAATGGAGACGCTGGGCAGTGGATCTGCCAGGACCTCTAAGAAGAAGGAATCATGCTGTCAGTGAGAGAAATGGGGGTGGAGGTTACAGTAATTCCCAAGTCTGGATCCCAGTGCAACTGTCGAAACTGGGAGCAGGAGAATACGTAAAGAGAGGGAGTAGCAAGAGACTACCCTCAGGATCGTGCACCCGTGAGGTATGAGAGATGCAGAGAGTGCATGCCACTCATGAGGTAATTAGCGGTCACGATTCCTTACTAAGTCCATACAAAGTAACTGGTCTTGGTGTTTCCTAACTGTATCACTGACTACCGTTGCCAATGAAGTAATTGGCAAGGACATTGTTACCGCACCACTGCTAAGCTGAAAATAAAACTTACACTGTGAGCAATTGACATCAGGGTAGCATTATTCTATCCAAAAACAACAAAGAACATTGACCTTCTTTCTTTTCTCTTTCATCCAAGTCATGGCAGGTGAGTATAAAGGAGAGACAAGGATAAGATTGACCTTCCTGCTCACAAGCTGTCACAGTTTCCTGGCCTGGCTTACCTTATTTGCATATAAAAAGACATTTATCTCCTTGTAATCTAAAATAAACTGCATCCCAGTACAAAACAGGTCCAACATCCAATGTTTCTCTTCTAACAGGAAGACACATCTCACCCCAAGACCATTTTCTTTAGTTTCTAGGACCTACCCACATTTCCAGTGGAGTCAAAGTCACCTCAAGACACCTCCCTTAGGAGCAAGCAACCCATATAGTAATCAAGTCTCTTTTCAATCTCCTCTTAAGAACATAATAAATCAAATACCCACAGTCTTGTATCACAATAATCTTTAACTCTAGGATAACCCCTATCATGCTCTCTTATAATGCTGCTCCTTTCTTGAATTTATCAGACTCCATCTTGAAAAAATTAGGTACCGTGTCCTGGCAGATGGTTGGAAAACTTCCACTTTCCAGTCTAAATTTATTTGTGACCATTTATAAACTTTTGACCATACACCAGTATTATCTTGTAAATGAAAATTCTTCTCCACACTTAATTCTCCAAATGTATTTCAGCCCTAGCCCTGTGTCCCCTTGATTTTGCTAAAGTAAACAAAAGCCATACTCTTTTAGTGTTTTCTCATGAGGTTCTCCATTCCCCTTAATCATCTTAGTAGCTCTTCTTGTACCTTTTCAATTTTTAATTAAACTTTCTCGAATGTATGTAACTAGTAGAGTACATGATATATGTAACTAGTAGAATGTTTGTAACTTTCTTGAATGTATGTAACTAGTAGAGTCAATGACGCACTGCAGAGTAAGAGATTTGGCGAGATGGGAGCCCAAGAAGGGTGGATGTGCCTTAAGGAAGCGATCCTTCGGGCACAGAGGGAAACAATCCTGATGCAGAGGAAAAGGGGGAAAGGGGCCAAGAGGCTTCCTTGGCTGACCAGAGAAATTCTGAGCAGCCTAAGGGCAAAAAGGGAGGCATATAAGCAGTGGAAACAGGGAGAAATTACTAAATAGGAGTATGCCTCCTCAGCTTGCAGTTGTAAGAAGGCAGTTAGAAAGGCCAAAGCTAGCATGGAGCTAAGGATGGCATCCTAAGTTAAGGATAACAAAAAATTGTTTTTCAGATATATAGGGAGTAAAAGGAAGGCCTAGGGCAGTATAGGACCACTACTGAATGGGCAAAAGCAATTGGTGACAGACGGGGGGACAAGGCTGAACTCCTCAATGAGTTCTTTGCCTCAGTGTTCCTAAACAAGGGGCAAGACAAGT